CAGAAAGCGATATGACACTAAACGCCCGCCCCAATGGCGCCATAGAGAGACGGGACGGCCCATTTATTCTTCTTTTCTAGCTGTACGCCTATTGCTTTTTATGGAGTACATAGCCAAGTACGTAGACCCTCTCTCACCTCTCTCTTTGCATTAAAAGTGGATATATTGACATTTCATAATATTTTTTGGTATTATATATTGACATTATTAATATTTTAATTTTTATTTTTAAAATAAAAAACATCAAACTCATAAAATTTTGTAGTTTTTCCATGTTTTACTCATATTTTAGTATTTTTTTCCAACAAAAAACGATTGGCATTGCTGGCAAAGGGTTCCGCATATCCAAGAACTGGAATCGAAAGCGAGACCAATTCACTAGACCAATTTCTCCTTATTCCAGACCATGTTTGTCGTTATAAAAAAGGAAAAAGATTAAAATAATAGTAAAACATCCAAAAAAAATTAAAGTATTACTCCCTCCGTTCCAAATAAAATATTCTTGACACCTCTTATTTCAAAGAACTTTTCATGTAGTTTTTTAATATGAAAATTTTATTTTTTATTTCTATACCAATATGTAAATAAAATGAATTTAAAAAACTTGATATTTTGCCTCGGGAATACAAGTGTGACAAATATTTAAGGACCGAAGGAGTATTTTTTTTAATCTCAAAATAGGATTACGATTTGAGTAATGTCAACTTAGCAAATAATACCAAAAAGCACCATTGAATATCAATATACACTATGACATTGTCGCAATGTAAACATTTACTTTAGAAATAAAAAAAACATGAAACTCATATTTTGTATTTTGATGTAAAGACTACTCTTATTTAGGAGGATAAAAACATTGAGCTTCAACAAAATAAATTAGTGTTAACAATTTTAAAATTAGTCTATATTGTTTTTGAAAATTATGGAGCACAAAATTTGACTACGTGTCTCTAAATATGTGTGTAGTTTTGACTTTTTACAATTAATCTTTTTTAACTTTTGATTTATAATTAAATAAAAGACAAAAATGAACAAATACTCAAAAACGGGAGAAGTATACTCTATCTGTTTCACCCCATAAAAATGTATTGAAAATGAGAAGAGATAGGTCTATAATGTAGTAAAAAATGCCGTGAATCGCATATTTTTCTTCTTCAAATAAAACGAGAAAGACGTGATGTTTATTTTGAGCAATCTTTATTAATTTATTTTACTTCGCAAGAAAGCAAGTGCTAACAAAATACTCAGGGCCGGCCTCGAAAATTCGGTGGCCCGGGACCAGATGAAAAAAATGGACGTTGTCCACTTGTTTCTAACAAATTAAATCATATAAACTATTTTTAAAAAAAATTAACATAATAAGAATAGATATTATAAAAATTATAATATTAAAATAAAAATTAACATAATAGTAATAATAGATATTATAAAAATTATAATATTATAATAAACATACAATATAAATTTATCAAAAAATTAAAAATATTAGGCCCCCGAAAAAAATGAGTTTGTGCCGGTAGGGCACCTTGGCATATCCTTGGGCCGGATATAAAATCTTCATAATTCCTACGAATATTTTTTAGTATTATTGACTTAATTATAATATTGTATCAGTTCATACTTTTTTTAACATACTAACTTCATACATCCTTTTATTCCAAAAGTTTTTTTTTTGTGTAAGTTGTAACTTTTGTAAATTTATTTACTATGGAGTAAAAATTAAGTGCAAGTAAAGTTTTTCAAAATATGATTGGTACATGACAAAACTCGATTCTTCTTTTGTATTGAGCATTTGGGGGGTGGGTGGAAAAGATTTTGTTCATTCCGAAAGCTAAGCCATGCAGGCGCAAGGGATCTTTTTTGTCATTTACACTCCATGTCCTCTCTATTCAGGGGAATTGTTATAAAAAGTTCAGCATAATATGGGGCTTCATATATGTATTTTTTGTCTTTTTTTTTTAATTTTCAAGTACTCTGTAGGTAATGTTTGTGTTTATCTAATAATGACAGATCTTCACTCTCTCAACTTAATTAAATTCGAAACCCCCGGCATTCAGAAGTTTTGGCATAACTTTTTGTTTTTGTACAAACTAAATTTTCCCAAGAATTAAAGTAGACACCCTTGGGTAAAAAATTTAAATGTTTGGAATATTGGTATTGAGTCAACAAGTAAATGTATATAGGCTGCAGGCCGCAGTCAATGAATGATGTGGTCAGGCGAAAACAACATTGAAACAAAAAAACAAAATCTTTTTCTGACCGTAACAAAATCTTCCAGATTGATGAAAAAAAAGAAGTTGAAATGCGATTTCAATGTGTTTTTTTCCTTGGATTATGCTATATGTACCCCAAGATTTGTACCCCGCAGTTTTGCACTAACATTTTGTGTTGGTGCAAAACTCATTTTTGTTAAATGCACCAACATTTGTGTTCGTGTGATTTTTTATTAACGCACCAACACTTGTGTCGGTGTAAACCATCGAAATGTTTGTGCAAAACTGTGGTGTACAAATGTGGTATATTTGTTAGTGTATGTGTAGCATGGTCCTTTTTCCTTTCTGCAACATGACATGTTTGAAATCCATTATTCAAATTACTACTGCAGAGTAAATATGAAATATTTGCACTAAATAGCACTAAAACTTAAGTCATTTCCCTAAATAGCACTTAAACTGTTTTATTCTCTAAATAGCACTTATAATGTTCATAATGTCCAGTGATGGCGAAATTTTGCTTGAATAATGACTAATGCATAATGACTAAAAGTGCTACATTGGGAAGAAAAACATATGTAGTGTTATTTAGGAAAAGTCATCATGTTTTAGTGCTATTTAGGTAAATTCCTTGAGTAAATATTTTCCCCAATGGCAATGGCATGCAAGCGTCCTTTCTCCATTTAATTGTTCTCTGCGGGCGGTCGTTCCAACAACATAAATTTCTCGTTATGATTAGCGGATGTTTTGCAGAATTATTTGTGTTTAGAGAGGCTAAATTTGGATTCCAGCAGCTCTTAGACGAGTCAAATTCATCTGTTCCTAATGGGTTTTTGTTGGAAAAATTACGATTACAACGAGCCAACAAACGAACAGCCCACAATCCCAACAAGAAATATCTATTTCGTATTTGTATAGAGGACATGGATTTTACGGAAATTGAAATACTCCCCCCCGTCTTCCAGTTTACTAGGTTTGATTGATTTTATTTTCAATTCCATTTATTTGTTTTTAAGTGTAAAATTAAAAGATAAAATTTATATTTTTAAAAACTACATCAAAAGTTCTACAAAACAAATGGTGACAAAACTATATTATTTTATCAAATACCTAATGAAATTAGGAAAAAAAAGTGATTAAAGTTTGACCGTGTAAAAAGTAACTGGAAAAAACATTTTAGAACGGAGAGAATATAAAAGAGGAGGAAGGAAATGCAATAGTGTCCTCCTAAGTCCTACCATGCATGCTAGCTAGTTAAGAAAGACATTCTCCTCCTATGATAAAATCGCTAACACAAAGTCTAGTCGTGCAGGTTGAAGTTGTGCTAATGAACGTGAACAAGACAAGAATAGTTGTCAATAGGGAAATATATACTCAGGATGTGGGAAACTCTACAATATCTCTATTGAGCTCTCAAATTACGACCCCCGTGTAATTGAAACAATAAGGAGACTCTGTATAAATATTTAATTTTTGTAATGTTCAAAATTATAATAATCAATAATGATCATCATTAACTACACCACTAATGACTCAAATAATGATTACTTCATTTGTTTCAAAATTATATTCTTAGTTACTGTTTATACAGTCAAACAATTTCTTCATTATTTTCATATTTTCATTGATGATATGTAAAAAAATAACTAATCTTTTTACCTCTTATTTTTTAAAATATTTGATGTGTTTTTTTAAAAAAATAAATTGAACTCAAATTAACTTTAGTCAAAAAATCATGTATTGAAATTTTGAAACAAAAAGATTATTCTAAAAGAAATCTCTCTTCGGCTATGTGTTATCATGGCGCCAGGAGGGTGTCACTACCTCCTTCACTCCTCTTTCTTGCTATGCTTGATTTCACATTGGGGTGTGGCCCGTTTCTACACGGTGGTCATCTTACCGTGAAGTTGTTCGATTGACGTTAACATTTTGGATAAAAATTTAATGATATAAATTAATTTTGAAAATGCTAACGCTAAAACTACAGTAGGATAACATTTTCAAAACGCTAATGCTGAAGCCAAACGTGGCCCATATCTTTCAACATATATATTTTTGTCACTACACATCATATTATTTTACACACCAATCAAAATAATCTAAGGTATTCTACAGATCATTTCAGTTCATGTATTTTAATTTCAAAATTTAAAATCTTGAATTTTTAATGACGAGAAGAAGTGGATGAATTTCAAATTAAACTTATGAATGAGAAAAATTTGACTCAAATTTAAATTCAAAATTTTAAATTTTCCCAAATATAAAGTTTGAGCCAAATCCTGATTTGAAATTCAAACCAATGTTCCCCAACATAACATAAATGAGAAGTTGAGAACCTCGTTTTTTTTAAATCAATTTTTTACCGAAAATAAAGAAAAAAAAATAGAGGTAGGGTGGAGGTGACAATTTCTTTGTACCCGTAAGGCTTTAACAGAATCCCCCCCGCTTCTACCTTACCCTATTCGCACGAAGCGCGTGTGGAAACTCTTTCCTCATTAACAGCCGTCGATTTCAACTTCGCCGTCGGGATCGAACTCTACGGCACCTTATCCTCGCGCGTGGTGGAGACGACGAAACGCCATAGCTGTCAAAGTCACAACAACGGGAAAGGGCCGTACGTGACAGCGACGGCCACCATCAACCCCACCCCAGTCACACCTTCTTTAACGTCTCTTCACCGCCGTTTGTAACCATATCTCCTCCTCTCTAGAAAACCACGTCCCCCTTAGTAGTATAAGACGGAGTAACTATTCCTAATTCCTCGTTTGGCGTCTGTCTGCGCTTTGAACAGTGTGACATTAAACACACCCCATTGTTGTTATCTACCGCTCACGCCAAATGCCTGCTTTCTCTGCTTCTCTGTTTTTCCTTCTTTCTCACTCCTTCAGTCCCCACTCTCTGCTCTGAGATTTAGCTTCCATATTTTTTTTTCGAATAAGAAAAAAACCTTCCTTTTTCGGTAACAATGGGGGAGAAAGACTTGTTCCCAGAGCTCAAGAAGATGAAATTTTCTCTGGGGTTTTTACTTTCTGTCATTTTTCTGCTGTTCCCTTTAGCCTCGTGTCTGGGTGGTGAAGAAGGTGAGAGCTTTCGTATAATGGGTCGGGTTTTTTCGGGTTTCTTGAATGGGTGGTTGTAAAATCTTTGTTTTATGTGTTCAGGGAAAGCGTTGATGTCCATTAAATCGGCGTTTAGTAATGTTGCTAATGTGCTGTTGGACTGGGATGATGTCCACAACGAGGACTTCTGCTCCTGGCGGGGAGTGTCTTGTGGGAATCTCACCATGTCTGTTGTTTCTCTGTAAGTTCATTTCTCTGCAGTTTTCTGTATTTTTGGTATTTCACATGTTGTATGGGAGTATTATATGACGGCCATTGTTGTTCGGACGATGAAGGAACTTGTCAAATCTCAACTTGGGAGGGGAAATTTCACCCGCCGTCGGGGATTTAAGGAATCTGCAATCTCTGTATGTTTCATCATCCCTTAAGTTCTTTAAATCTTTTGAGTAGTAGAACTATTAAACTCTTTCTAACTTAATGTGGTTGATGTGATTTATATTCATGATTTGTCCAGAGACTTGCAGGGGAACCAATTAACCGGGCAAATTCCAGATGAGATAGGGAACTGCATTTCATTGATACTTCTGTAAATTCTTCTTCTGGAAAACTTTTTTGCTTTGTTTAAAGATTTAACATCCACAAGCTTTAGGAAGATAATAATGGATTGTTTGGGCACATGTGCAGTGATCTGTCTGATAATCTGATCTATGGTGACATTCCCTTCTCAATCTCAAAGCTAAAGCAGCTTGAGTTATTGTGAGTGCGAGACTGTTATTACTTTTTTCAGTGTAGATAATTATGATAAGTGTGGGTTTTGTGCATATCTGTTTTTCAGTGGATTAACCCATTTTGGAATACAGGAACGTGAAGAACAACCAGCTTACGGGCCCCATTCCTTCGACATTAACCCAGATTCCAAACCTAAAAACCCTGTGAGCATTTTTACCCAAGACAATTGCTATGTGCACATTCTTAATAGGTACGTGGTTAATGTGTTATGGATGATTTTTTCTACAGTGATCTTTCTAGAAACAAATTTACTGGTGAGATTCCAAGACTGATCTATTGGAATGAGGTCTTGCAATACCTGTAAGCTCTAAACACATGACTCTCAAGTTTCATTGTTTCTGTACCAACCTGATACAAAAATCTTTAAGAACTCTAAACCTTAGAGCTTTGTTCTGATTTCTGGTTTTGCTTACATTTTTTGAAGCGGTTTGCGGGGAAATTTCCTAACCGGAACACTGTCTCCTGATATGTGCCAGCTGACTGGCCTGTGGTATTTGTATGCACTCTACCTTCTTGAGTCATTTTATTGATTTAGAAGACGCTTGGCCGCTATTATATCTCATCCTGCAATTAAGCAGCAGTTATGACCAAGTATTGCCTATTTACCTCACTCTCTTTTGTATTTACGTGTAGTGATGTACGTGGTAATAATCTGACTGGGACAATTCCAGATAACATTGGCAACTGCACAAGCTTTGAAATCTTGTAAGTTTTAATCTGCAGTATTTTAGCTGAGGAAGCTTGTTTTTTTTATGCTCTTAATAACTTGTGGCATTTTTTATCCTCGGTTGTAGGGACATTTCATATAACCAAATTTCCGGAGAGATCCCTTACAATATTGGGTTCCTTCAAGTTGCTACTCTGTAAGTTGGGTTCCTTTATGTCCAAACACTGATAGTTTCACTTAACCATATTTGCCCGATTCCGAATCATTACTGTTTCAGGTCGTTACAAGGAAATAGGCTATCAGGTAAAATTCCCGAGGTTTTAGGGCTAATGCAAGCACTTGCTGTCTTGTGAGTATCAGCCTATATATTTTGTCCTATTCGTATGATCATTCTTTCTCGGGTTCTAACAGAGTATTATTTATTTTCAACTTGTCTAGGGACTTGAGCGAGAATGAATTAGAAGGGTCAATCCCACCCATTCTTGGAAACCTGTCATACACTGGGAAGCTGTAAGACATCATCCCAGCCCAATTCGTAATACTTTCCCAACTCTACTTTTATCTTCTTGATTAATATTCACTTTGTGTTTCAGCTACCTCCATGGAAACAAGCTCACTGGCTCAATCCCACCCGAACTGGGAAATATGTCAAGACTTAGTTACTTGTAAGATTTAGCTTTGCATTTCCCATGTCAGAGAGTGAAAATACTGTTACTTGATGAAATATTCTTAGATAAATTTCTCTACAGGCAATTAAATGACAATGAACTAGCTGGTACAATCCCTGCTGAACTTGGAAAACTGGAGCAATTGTTTGAGCTGTGAGACTCTGCTATATGTCATTTCTTTTTTACTACGGGTATTATTTATCCTTCCTTTAAGATCTCTTAACAAGCCCTCCTTCAGGAATCTTTCAAATAACCATCTAGAAGGGGATATTCCTGAAAATATCAGCTCTTGTAGAGCTCTGAATCAATTGTAAGTTATCTTTTCACCATTCTTATTGGTTTTACTTATGTTATGTTTGGCAGTTTTATCTAGCTTATTTCTCTTGTAAGTAGAATAATAATTTTTTTTACTCGTTTCGTCTCTTGCAATTTATTTTTACTAGCTATAATTAAACTGTTGCATTCATGTAGGAATGTGCATGGAAACAAATTGACCGGTTCAATACCTTCTGGGTTTCGGCATCTTGAAAGTTTGACGTACTTGTATGGAACATTCTTATGCTAAAAGACATTGGAGAAGGATTATTGTGCAATTTTCCTCTGCATTGTTGTAACCTATTTTCTCTTGAATTTGCAGGAACCTTTCTTCCAATAGATTCAAAGGAAGCATTCCTGTTGAACTGGGACGGATAATTAATCTTGATACATTGTATGTTTCTAACCTTTTAAATAGTATATATATACCCTCTTTACCTTCTCCACTATAGTAACATTGCGTTTGGTTTCCTCAAGGGATCTTTCTGGCAATGAATTTTCTGGACCTGTTCCTGCTTCTGTTGGTGATCTCGAGCATCTTCTTACATTGTAAGACTCTAATCTTAACAATGAGCTCAAATACATTATTTTCATTGCGGTGTGTGATTCTCTTCTAGTTATTTGTTTACGGATCCTACTATATATGTTCTTAAACTGATAGTTGGATTAATATTCTTATGGGATTCTCACCGTGTAACCATTTTAACCAATATTATGGCATACAATAGGAATTTAAGTCGCAATCATCTCTCGGGCCCCATCCCAATGGAGTTCGGAAACTTGATTAGTGTACAGACTATGTAAGTTTGTTTCTCAAGGTTTAGATCATGGAAGTTGTGAGCATTACTCTTCCAACTGAATGTTTTATACTTTTAATTTTTAATCTCTGCAGGGATATGTCATGGAATGAACTCTCGGGCGGCATACCTAAAGAATTGGGCCAACTTCAAAATCTTGGTTCGCTGTATGTTCTGAGTTTTTTTCTTGCATTCCTTCAACTTGTTCTACTATTATATATGATTGCCTAAATTGCCCTTGTTGGTTCTTAATTTTCATTGCAGTTCTCTTACAAACAACAATATCAGTGGGCAAATTCCAGAACAACTAACAAACTGTTTGAGTCTTATTACCCTGTAAGCTCTTGCAGCATTTAGTGATACATGCCTTGGAAAGTGTATGTTTGCTGAATCTAATTATTGATCTTTCTTAATCAGGAATGTTTCTTACAATAATCTCAGTGGCACTGTTCCACTCAACCAGAGCTTTTATCAGTTTTCACCTGACAGGTAAGCATAAAAGATTCCATTTTTAACACAAAAAATGTTAGGGAAGTACATTATGAAGGAAAACATAGGGGAAATTGGGAAAATAGAAAAATTTGAGCAGAATATGATTCAAACCCAAGAAGCTAATGCTTATTTATTCTCTATTTATATACAATTATTTCCTTTACTAAAGCTTTGTCATGGCATCAGCTTCATTGGGAACCCATTGCTTTGTGGCAACTGGCGAGGTTCAATATGTGATCCCTATGGATCGAAGACTAAGGGTAAACTTGTTTAAACTTTACCCATTACAGATCTCATACTATCTCTTAGAATCACTTTGGTGTTAATATATATATTGCTTATATTCTTGTTGCAGCCATTTTATCAAGAACGGCCATTGTGTGTGCTGTGTTGGGATTTATTGCCTTCTTATCGATGGTGATAGTTGCAGTTTATAAATCAAAGAACGCCACACCATTCATCAAAGACCCAACAAGTCCTATATGTTATCCAAAACTTGTGATTCTTCACATGGACATGGCCATTCATTCTTATGAAGACATAATGAGAATCACTGAGGACTTGAATGAGAAATACATCATTGGATATGGTGCTTCAAGTACTGTATACAAATGTGTTCTAAAAAATTCCCGACCTATTGCAATTAAGCGAATTTACACCCACCGTCCCTATAGTTTGAAGGAATTTGAGACTGAACTCCGAACCATAGGAAGCATAAGGCACAGAAATGTGGTTAGCCTGCACGGTTATTCCTTGTCCCCACATGGCAATCTCCTCTTCTATGACTACATGCAGAATGGCTCACTTTGGGATCTTCTTCATGGTTAGTTCTCTCTTCCTCATTCTAGAAGGTTCCAAACGTTTGTTCACATTTGTTACCCCTTCATTATGTATTCAAATTTTACATAGCAGGCCCCTCCACAAAGGTTAAACTTGACTGGGAAACACGTCTGAAAATAGCGGTTGGAGCTGCCCAGGGACTTGCTTATCTCCACCATGATTGCAACCCGATAATCATCCACCGAGATGTGAAGTCTTCGAACATTCTTCTGGATGAAGATTTTGTGGCTCATCTTGCAGACTTCGGGATTGCCAAGTGTATGTATCCGGCAAAGGGTCATACTTCAACATATGTTCTTGGCACCATTGGCTATATTGATCCAGAGTATGCCAGAACTTCCCGGTTGACTGAAAAATCAGATGTTTATAGTTTTGGAATTGTTCTTTTGGAGCTCTTGACTGGGAAGAAGCCAGTGGACAATGACTTGAACTTGCACCAGCTGGTATCTGTCTCATTTCTTCCATATTTATAGATATCTCCGGGCATTGTGCATTTTAAGAATAACCATCTTATTTTGGTGTTCTGTAGATAATGTCAAAGGCAGATGACAACACAGTGATGGATGAGGTGGATTCTGAGGTGTCAGTAACGTGCACAGATTTAACCCATGTCAGCAAAACCTTTCAACTTGCACTGTTGTGCACGAAGCGAATCCCATCGGAGAGGCCAACAATGCATGAAGTTGCAAGGGTTCTCACCTCCTTTCTCCCACCTCCTCCGGTAAAGCCATGTTTGGCTCTACAACCAAAAGCATTCAGCTATGCGCAACTCTTGGCGGTGAAGGGGCAGCAGCCGGAGAACCACCAGGAAGATGGCCACTCCACTGATGCACAATGGGTGGTTAGATTCGGGGAAGCCATATCAAAAAACACACTTTAAATTGGCAAGTTGGATTGTTGCCTCAGATTGGCCAAAATTTTGTTGCACATGGCTGTTTCAACACTCTTAACTACCATTTAGGACGAGCTTAATTATCAAAGATTAATGGTGTATTTTGTGTAGTAAATGACGGTATAACATGTTATGGTTATGATTCATATTGCGCAAGTGTACGAAATGAGAGAAAATGATTGGCTTTGTCATTGTACCAATAGTTCCAATCCGGGGTCGTTCATTCATGATGGAGCCACTCGCTCCATATCAAGCAATTGATATCATCACCTTTTGGGACTAAACTTGTTTAAATTCACAGTTCCAAATGGATGTGGTTTTGGATGGGATGCTGCTCTGTTGTCCATGTCAGAATTGAGGGTCAACTGATAAACAAAAAAGAAAAATGATTTGGTTAATATAGTCAATGAGTTATCATTGTTCTTATGACCATTGTAATTGTCTAATGGTACCTTGCTGAAAAGCTCAATTGGGGGATGCTGCAAAAGCTTCTTCTCATCTGAAACTTTGGATTTCTAGACAAGGAGAAAGTGACGACTACTTAAAAGCATGATTAATTAACAAAAATAAAGGTCTTAAATAATCCATGATAATAATTACTCACTTGAGAGGTGGGCGATTGGCGAGTGCTTCTTTTAATTTGAGGCGGCGTTGAAGGGAGCACTTGTTGAGTCTATAAACATGAAACATCACAAGAAAATTGTAACATTGAGATTTAGTTTATGTAAGGCAAAGAAGTAATGGGGCAATGGATTCCACACAATATTTAAGAGTACCAACTTTTTTGTTCAAAGGCCGGATTTTGGAAGCACTCTCTTTTGTAACGTTATTATCACTCGAGCAAATTGATGAGCTTAAATTGTTCTTCGATTTGAACCTATGTATAATGGAAAGTAGATACAGTTAATCAATGAAACCCGATCCATAAAAATCTTAAATTTTTGGAAATGTGCGCGTGTATATAGACTAGCGCGCTAGTGTAATATATACCTCTGCCATTGTGCTCGGCATTGAGTTTCTAGATGTGGCTCCCTTGGAACGGTAATGTTGAGCTTAGAACCTTTTGAAGTTTTTGCAGGAGGAGAGGAAGATGACGCACCCTACAACATCACATGGAAGAAGAATTGAAGATGGACGGGTTTCCCCAAGTTTCACACTTAGCTTGTATGCATGCATACATGCATGTGTATTGACATAAATAGCTCCATTGTTCTTCTTTAGAGAGAATTACGTACATGTCTTCGTTATATATCTTTTTTTGAAAATGGGTCTAAGTTACTTTATTTATTCTCTCACTTCCACATGTAGGTATGTTATCTATTTACTGTTGAACAACTCAAGTACGAGGTGATTAGATAAATCTGATTATATTATTGCGCATGTACTAACCCACATTACTGCAGACTCGTGAATATGCAATAGAGACTCGAGTAATGAAGAAAATTGATAAGAAAATTTAGAGAAAAAAGATAAGGTATAATAGGGATGGGAAAAAGTGCATGCACTACACTAGGAGCAACCAGGTTCTAAATTTGTCAAAAAAAAAAACAAAATACCCCTATTTGCATAAAGTCTCATTATTTAAGTCCTAGTTTTTGTAATTTTCTCTTCTTATTTTTCAACTACACGTAGGAAGTTAGGAGTAGGATTCTTCGATAAGTTTTGTTTGTTTGTATTCTATCGATACTTAAAATGGGTATCATGTTACTATTACGGCTTCTCGATAAGTTTTGTTTTTTGTATACTAATTGATAAATATAAAATTACATTCATTAATGGCCAGGGTATCACATTGATGATTGTGGAAAATGAAATACGAAATATAAAACTAGATTAATTTGGGACAAAAAGAATAACAAAAGTTTATATCAATTGGAATCAAAGAAAAGTACGTACGTAGTAGAAAAGAAAAACATGCAAGAGTAAGACATAGAGGCGTACGTACGTACCTTAGTGACGTAGTAACCATAGTCCAATTTCAGCCTTTTGATAGCTTCGTGGTTACGACGTTGTTGTTTGACATGGTTTAGTTTGGCGAGCTGACTTGCAGTTGGTTTCATCAACGTTGATCCCCCATTATTTCTATTGTTATCATCGCCGCCCCATTTTATGGCACTCTTTTCCTTTGGTTTAATTGCTTTTGAAGGAGTGTCTTCTTCCATTCTCTCTTGATCACCACTATTGTTCCACCTTCTTCTTCCGCCTAATTAAAGTTTAAAATATATAGTGATAAATTAAGAGTGTGTTTAGTAATCAAACATGATATGCATTTTGATATCTTCAGATATCAAAATCCTTTTCTGGTGTTTAGTGAAGTCAAAAGAGATATCACATTCGATATCTCGAGATATTATAAATCTTCAAAATGAAGGGTTTCGATATCTTCGAGATATCAGTATTATGAGGGTTTGATATATTTTTTTCAACTGTTGATCATTCTCCACTACCGACTACCATTGTCACTAAGAACCACCCCCAATTATCAGTAATTATATCATGATTTTAAAACTCTCCAAACAAATTTGTTTCAGATTTTAAAATCCACGTCTCCAAAATAGAACCTAAAGTAATACTCTCATAAGATTTCTTTTTTTTTAAAAAGGCCCCTATGTACATGTACATGCATATATACCACCTTTGTTCGTCTTTTCATGATTTGATGAAGAAGAAAGGCGGTGGTGATGATGATGAGAGGGATTGAAGTTGTCGTCGTCTTTTACCAATGGAGATTCATCATTTGCAGGAACTATTGTTGTTTTCACCTTTGCCTTAAAATAGAAATCTGCATATCGATGGATTGGTGAATTTTATAAGTACTAATTAATTCTATACATACTCGATCGCATTATTATATTTAAAACAGTCAAAATTGTTTATATATAAATATGGAAGTAATCTTACGAGAAGGCGGGTAATATCCGGCGACTTGGAACCAGCGCTCGGCCCGTTCGGCGTCGGAAGAAGATTCAGGGCGGCTGAAATCGAAGAATTGAGATGCGTCGAACTCGTATGCCGAATCGATCTCCCACGAACCAGAAGAAGAAGACGGCGGCGGCGCGTGCCACTCGTCTTCGTCTATCGATCCCTCCGTCGTCATTCCTCCGTACGCGCCTCCATCCTTTTCAGGCCACGAGTACTCCTTCTCGTCGTACTTGAGGCGCCCTGGTGGCGGTGGCGCTGCAAATTTTAAAAGGAAAATAATCCGCCCCCAGATTCTCTCAATATATATATAATCGGATAACTAAATTAACTCACCTACCCATTCCCAAAATATTGGGCGAATCAATTTGGTACAGATCCAATTTGCATTTACGATTAATAACAATGAATCTAGACCCTTCCATCTAATTTTCCATACATACGCAAATGCAATATATATATATATATATATATATATATATATATATATATATATATATATATATAATTCTAAAAAGAAATTTAACTAAATAAGACTAAAATATAATGACTTTCTCAATATATGACGATATGTTTTTATTTTCCAATGTAGGACCATTGATCATTACTCCCTCCGTCTCTCATAGATCTTCTCAATAGCCTTTTTTCTTTGTCCACAATAGATCTTCTCATTTTATTTTTTAACAATTAAAATACCACAACTACCCTCACTAACTTTATTTATTACATCTCACCCACTTCATTTAATACACTCCACCCATTTTTTATTAAGGATATTATGATAAACTTTCATCTTCTTTCAACTTTCCTTAAAAATCACCAAAAATCAAAATGAGAACATCTTAGGAGGACGGAGGGAGTATTTATTAGTCATTATTCAACTAAATGTCCAGCATCACTTGTACATTATTCTTTGCACTAGTCATTATTAAGTCCTATTTAGGGAATAAAATAGTTTAAATCCTACATTGAGAAATGACTTATGTTTTAATCCTATTCCGTGTAAATTTCACATTCTGAAAACATTAACGCTAAAGACTATCGTTAGATAATTTTTTCAAAATGTTAACGATGATGACAAACGAAGCCTATATCAATGAAAATTCTTAAAGGATTAAATATATTCTTTATTCTTATAAAACTAGTGTTTTTATTCTTGTTTTCAACTAGTTCTTCACAAATTTAAATTTATAGTTTTAGACAATGTCTTTTTTTGGTCTTTTTGCCAATGTTTTGGATCATATTTCACCCCACTATTTTGGTGAACATGTATAAAAAGGGTGATTCAAGCGCAGTACAACTTTAGCAGTTGGAAACTCCAAATAATTTGCAGTTGATTCGGTTGAGTTTGGACACATCACACTAGATCCAATCAGATTTGACCAGATCTTATAAGATCAGGTCAGATCTAATCAGATCAGATCAGATTCAATCAGATCAAACCAGATCCAATTAGATCAGACCAGACCAAATCAAATTCAAGAATATCAAATCCGGAAAAAATATAAAAAAATATGAGTAAATTCCATAATTGATCCTTTATAACAGGGGGGTTTCCCTATTTAGTTCTCTATTATCAAATATTACCTCAGTGGTCCTTCTTTTATGAGTATCTTTACACAAATAGTCCTTTTTTGATCTTCTATCATGTCGGAGTTAATTTGAAGGCTAAAAGTGTAATTTCACAATGATAATATATATCTTTTTTGTCATACACAATTCCAAAGGTTGTTCCGTTTGCGTCGTTTGTGAATTACATTCGCTTTCTACTACAACCATAGTCTACAAATATGGTCTTCCGTCGGAATCCTAGCCCACAATCATATTCATTATATTTGTGTTATTCGCTTAACCAATATCAGAACATGTCGCTAGACATAATGTTGATGTCAAATTATACTTTTAGGCTTTAAATTAACACCACATGGCGGAAGATCAAAAAAGGACCATTTGTGGAAAGACACCCTTAAAACAAGGACTTCGAGAGTAATATTTGTTAATAGAAGACTAAATATGGAAACCCCCATGTTATAAAGGACCAATTATAGAATTTACTCAAAAAATATTTATATATTTTAAGGCTTAAATAATAATTACTATTATTTGATTAAATCACATTACTTTATTTAAAACTACACACGCCTAAATCTTAATTAATATTATAATTTTAACTATTATTATTATGTTGCAACTACAAACCATTATTTTAAATTATTGTTCAGCTTGTAGGAATGATGCATGGAAGTAATGTTAAAGCTTAAAAAGTTATATTTTTCATACTTTAAAAAGAATTGTTTTAAAATACTTGTTTATAAAATAATTATACAAAACTTAGTTTTCAAAACCATAAATATGTTATACTTAAAAAGACTTATTTTTGAAATTTAAAATGGTATAATATATACAAGGGTGAGTTTATGACAAAATTGATAGAGGAAAAGGAATATTAGTGTTTGAGGTTTTATTAAGGCTTTTTCTAAAATTTACTTTTTGTAACTCATTTTTTAGTTTCATTTACTTTTTTAAGGCTTTTTCTAAAATTTACTTTTAGTTTCAATAACTTATTTTTAAAAAACCTTTAAAAACTGTAGCGAGAAATTTGTAAAAAATCAAAAAGTAGTGATATTGAGAAAATGTTTAATATTTCAAAAAAAGTTTAAATATATCAATGATTAGATTATTTTCTTATTTTACTTTTTTTATGTATGTATGAACGGCCCGGTTCCAATGACACCGGAAAACGGTGCCACTCCGGTGCCACTGGGTTTTTGGGGCACCTCCGGTGCTCCGTTCGTAAAATTGACGGTTCCTACCCCCCTAACCCACCCCCTAAACCCCCACCCTACCCCCACCCCTGCACCCCTACCCCAACCCCGCCGTAACCCCCCCACAAAATGTGTGGCTATTATGATTGGGTGTGAATAGAAAGGTAAAAATATTAAAACTATGTATGAATTGGAACCAGACCGATGTATGAATTGTAATACGTTAAAACTATTAAATTTTGTAATAATTTTAAGTTTAATTTAAATCAAATTTAAAATCATTTACACAAGATGGAATTAGATAAAATCAGATCCAATCAGATCATATCAAACCGAATCAGATCAGATCAGATCCAATCAGATCTATTAAGGTTCAATCAGATCAGATCAGACTCAATCAGATCAGACGTACAGAATAAAGCCTTAGTGGTGTTTATTTGTTGTGAAATCACTGGAGCCAAACCTTGTCATAGATAACCTATTTAAAACACTAAAGGGAGTGTATTCAATTCTAATATGGAGTAGATTTTTTTATATTTTAAAAGTCAGTGGATATTCAATTGAGATTGTATTCAATACTTCTAGCCTTCGACATTTCTCTCCATGTTTCAACATCTCATGTAAATCATTCATCTCATGTAAATCAATTGATGCATAATTTGGAGGATGATTATGATTGCCCAATCTATAGACTTCAATGGGATGATTTAGGAGTTGCTCTAAATCCTTCCGTCATACTCTCAGGCGGTGGAAATCCTAGGTCATCGTCCGTCTATTTTAAATACTGATAATTATTTTAATGAGGGGCTTATTCTTATAACAATTTTTTTACAACATTTTTTACAACAACGCAATCAAGGCGCCTACGGTACCGCATTCGTAAAATTGAATGTTTTTACTCTCATAACCCCCTTAGTAAATCCCCACACCCCGGCTCGGCCCTAAAGCAACCCCGCGTATTGGAGCAAGTTTGGGTCTATCTCGTTTGTAAAGGTGTCCGTCTAGACGTTCATTTCTAGCGGCCCGTTAGTCTTTAGCTCAGTTGTCCGTATGGAGTAGTACCCAACGGCCTGTGGCCCGTTTAACACGATTGCACGTCTGGAAGTCCATACCCAGCGGCTCGTGGTCCTTTAAGGTGTTGGCGCTAAAAAAATCAAGGGAATGTGAGCTTATTTGCAAGTGCTCAACCGGTTAGATTCAAAATAGCCCGATTGTCCACTTGAGGGGAAGTGTTAGAGTGTCATCCCACATCGGTATTCCAAGAATAAAATAATCGGTATATAAGCTCTTGAGTTGAACTAATTAATCGATTGGATTCAATCTTTTAATGTGGTTCAGCCCAAGTGTCTTATTGTCCAATTCAGTTGTCCTTATCCCATACTAAATTCTATAAAATATTTGAACACAAAGTAAAAGAAACTATCAAGGAACCAATTCAACCAAAAGCTCAAGCTTGATGTTGTGGCCCAGGAACAGTTATTTATATTCTAACACGCCCCCTCATGTGCAGGCGTGACCTCTTTGAGCCTTGCACGTAAAACCTTAATTTTTTTTTAAATCTGGGTGGCGCTGAGTTTCGAACCCGTGACCTCTTAGTCAACGAGGCTCCGATACCATATCAAGGAACCAACTCAACCAAAAGCTCAAGCTTGTGGTTGTGGCCCAAGAATGATTGTTATATACTCTAACAGAAACATATATTTGTTCGATCAGAGGTGACACAGACGTGCATTAGGGCTGGTGCGAAGGGAGGGGGTTTACAATGTGGGAGGGGGATTATGGGGTAAGAACAATTACTTTTACGAACGAAGTATTGTAGATGCTCTGATTACAATGTTGTAAAAATTGTTGTAAAAAAAATTATTGTAAGAGTAAGCCCCCTCAATTTTAATTTTCTTCTATCAATTTTGTAATCATTTATTGATTTAAAAATAATCTATGGACATTTTGGAATCTTAACAAATCCTGATAATAAATCCATCTAAATCCATAAAGAATTTAAACTACCTATTGATTTTACCTAGTCCATGAAATATAAAAAATCTTATAAATTTTTTTAAATCCGAATTGAATATACTCTCTTAAATCTAATCACTATTGTCGTCTCCAAATTGACCTTATATGTCGTCCTCTACAATATTATTTGATTTTCAATTTTTTTTTAAAGATGAGAAAGCAGGCGCTTAGAGCATGCGCATCGGCGAGGCAAATCCTTGCCTCGCTGCGCCACGTCACCTTATTCCGTAACTTGCCTCGCGAGGCTTTAGCCTTCCTCCACGCCAAGCGTGTGAGGCGCGAGGCACTTTCAAGTATTTTTTTATTTTTTATGGGTCGCTGGAGTTCTCGCTGCTGGAGTTCGTCAATGGGCTGTTCGTCGCTGGAGTGCTCGCCGCCGTCGTCGCCGGTGTTTGTTGTTGCTACTGGAGCCGAAGGACGAAGGAAGAAAGGACCGGGTCGGGTCACAAATTAGGGTAAAGTTTTTTGAAATTTCAGATTGACCTCAATTCTTCAATT